GAACTTTGACGATAAATTTGAATTGGGAGGATCCTAAAACATTTTTTTAAACAAAACTTTCAAGACGAGCTACAAATAGATACAGGAGTAGCCGCTTGCTGCAAGGCCTTCAGCCTCTCAATCAATGGTGTGGGAGTAGGAAGATTTGGGGTAAGATCAGCAAAAAGATCGTCTTCAATCGTCTTCTGTGGAACGACACTGATCTCAAACTCACTTCCTAAATTAATTCTCAATCGAACTTTCTTATAGAAAATCAACGCCAATGAAAGAAAAGATGAGTTGCTTACCAATAGCACTGGCTTTCTTGAAGTCAGAAGAGGAACTTTTCTGTGAGATGGGAGCGTGCAGTTTCAAAGGCTTGGACTTACGAACAATCGTCACATCAGGAGACGGGCTTACATCGCGGTTTTCTGCAGAAGCAGACTCGCTGTTCTCTCTCCACTCGGCAGACCAAGGAATGTCGTTCCAATCAGTCTTATCCTAGAAATGGTGTCTTTGTAACAATAATAGTTCAAACTGCACGAACATCTTCTGCCCAATCCTTTTCGATATTGGTAGTTGGCACCAGAACTGGCTTCTCTGATTCGTCCAACCTTGCCTTATTTGTACTTGAGGATGAATCCATTCGAAGAAAATTGAAGCCAAATACATTTTTTGCAGGACGGTTTCTCTGAAAAACAGCATGGTAAGCTTACATGTCATATAAAAGGGAAAGTATTATTGTCATCTTCTCACAACAATTTCACATGAAAGTCCACTTTGTTCCACAGGCCCTTTCACCAAGGTTACTTTCATTCTTTGATATCTATCGAAAGTTCAAAACGCCTAATTTCTCCTATCAAATCAGTTCTAAAAAATGAACTTCTTGCAAAGAAAAAAAACCAAAATACTAATTAACACGCCTCGAATAAGATTATTTTCCTGTATCTGCTAAAACTAAAGACTGTTTCTAACACTTATGTACAATGCTGGTGCAAGTGCAAACTATGAAAATCGAGACCGTAAGCTGACTGTAATAGAGACACATCAAACATCTATTTAAAAGCGACTCTCGAAAAGCTAAACTAAAGTGCCCATCAATTTCCACTTCATACATTTTAGAGAGCATGCATGGCTATGCTCTGCGCTTCGCAGATACAGTTTATCCCCATTCGGCAATTCTAAGAGATAAAGTGAATACGTGAATCTCTCGGTGGTATTCATATTTCAAATGAAAGATTTTTTAAATTATCAAAGAAAATTACTTCCAATTCAAACTGCTGTCTGCTTCCTTAAAAATAACTTGCTCTACTTTCACGATGAAACAATACATTTTGTTGTTGTTAGTAGGTCCTCCTCACCTAGAGCCCTTTAAAAGCTTACGCAGTACGGATTGCAAGTATTCTAACCTATAAGACGAAGAACCATTTACAAAACTCCAATCTCACTTATCATATCTTAGCTATGCGATAACCTATGGCGCCTACACATGTGCAAAGCTGTTTCCTACTCAACAGTTGCACTTCCAAACAAACATGATCATACCCTTTTTCTCAGAAATTCTCTACAGGGTTTCCCACATGAAGTGCGACGGGCTATGAAAAATCCATTTTCTGGCATTTTTAAACATTTTTTGCTTTGATGTAATCTTATTCGTTTTTCTGGTTTTATAGTCCTACTTTGGTCAGTCTTATACTCTTTTTTCTAGGTAAAAATGGTATCATAAGATGATTGTTCTGCAATAGTTGCTATGCAAGCGCGGCTTGTCAGTTATCGAGATTTCAAAGACACTCGAACTGCATCGAGAGCAATATTGTGTATGAAATCTTCAAAGAGACTAGAGGAATTGAACGTCCGAGAAATCTCGCCGGAAGCATCCTCAAGAATTTCAAAAAGAGATTGAATTCTTGTATTGAAGCTAAAAGTGGCCATTTTGAATGCGATATGTAATCACTTATGTAGATTTTTCTGGCTATTAAATATAAGGATATATTTCTAGTTTGGACTCAGTGGTGCAAATTTGTAAGTGGTTTTTTTGCGTCACACTTCATGTGGATCACCCCGTATACATATGTGATTACCTTACGAACTCCCTTTTACTAATTATCACAGCTGTAGAACAATGGTACAGTCTCTTACCACATGCAGTAATGATTCAAATCTACAAAAGAAATACTAAAAGAATATTTTCTAGCTGAATTTCAGAATTCGGATCTTTTTTAGCTAAAGAGAATATAGATATATCATTAATCAAACTACTTCGTTAATGCCCATAAAAAAAATTACCAGCTTTGAGAGAATGTCAATCAGCAGAAAAAATCTTCTGCAAGCATTAAAACATAGGAATTAGTGTATGCAAAAACAAACAATTTCCTTTCAGATGTAATTTTCCTGCGACTGAACATAAATTAGTGGGGTGTAGCATGTCTTCTTGAAGCAATTTACTGATAGCAGAATTAAGCCTTGGTGCTATTTCTATTAGAAAGCACTTCGAAGCCTAAAACTCTTTTTCATACATTAGCTTCATTATTTTCTCCAAATCTCAAATGTCTTCTAAGTTTTCCATACATTCACAGGCCTAATTGTATAATGAGCATTAGGTTCTCACGCTCATATTTTTTCAATCTTGTGAAACGCTTGCTCGCT